GTGTAATTTTTTTTTCTTTTTTTTACAATTGTAACATGTTATTTTTTAATAAGAATTTATATTTTTCTTAGACATTTTTTTAATATAGAAATTTTTTTTTTTTAGATTTTAATGAAATGCACAGTGTATTTTTTTCTCTTTTTTTTCACAATTGCAACCTGTTATTTTTTTAATAAAAATTTATATTTATTTTAGATATTTTTTTAATATACAATTTTTTTTGATTTTAATAAAATGCACAGTGTAATTTTTTTTTTCTCTCTCTTTTTTTTATTATTTATTTTTATTTTTTTTACAATTGCAACATGTTATTTTTTAATAGAGTAAATTACAAATACACCTCCTAAGATTTGATTAAAATACGAATCGCCCCCTATGGTTTTAAAAATTACATTCCACCTTCTGAGATTTCTAATTTCATAACAAATCACCCATTTTATTAATAAATCATCAAGTTAATTAACTTTCCCAACCCACAAGCTTTTTGACTTCTCTCATACCTATTACCGCACCATTTTTAAACTCCTCCTATACACTATAATTAGTGATGTGATTGTTAAATTATTTTTAAAAAAAATCTAAAAAAATAATTTGTATATTAAAAAAATATTTAAACAAAATTAAATTCTTATTAAAAAATAATAGGTGGCAATTGCGGAAAAAAAAATTACATTGTAAAAAATAATTTGTATATTAAACAAATATCTAAAACAAATATAAATTCTTATTAAAAAAATAACAAGTTGTAATTGCGAAAAAAAGAGAAAAAAAATTATACTGTGCATTTCATTAAAATCTAAAAAAAAATTGTATATTACAAAAAATCTAAAACAAATATAATTCTTATTAAAAAATAACATGTTACAATTGCAAAAAAAAAAAAAATAACTGTGCATTTCATTAAAATCTAAAAAAATAATTTTTATATTAAAAAAATATTAAAACAAATATAAATTCTTATTAAAAAATTACAGTTGCAATTGCGAAAAAAAAAAGAGAAAAAACTACACTGAAAAAATAATTTGTATATTAAAAAAAATATCTAAAACAAATATAAATTCTTATTAAAAAATAACATGTTGCAATTGTAAAAAAAAATAAAAATAATAATAAAAAAAAGAGAGAGAAAAAAAAAAATTACGCTGTGCATTTTATTAAAATAAAAAAAAAAATTGTATATTAAAAAAATATCTAAAATAAATATAATATTTTATTAAAAAAATAACAGTGTGCAATTATGAAAAAAGAGAGAAAAAATACACTGTGCATTTCATTAAAATCTAAAAAAAAAAAATTCTATATTAAAAAAATGTCTAAGAAAAAATATAAATTCTTATTAAAAAATAACATGTTACAATTGTAAAAAAAGAAAAAAAAATTACACTGTAAAAAATAATTTGTATATTAAAAAAATATCTTAAACAAAAATAAATTCTTATTAAAACATAACAGGTTGCAAATGTAAAAAAAATAAAAAAATTAAAGATTAAAAATAAAATTACATTGTGCATTTCATTAATAATGCTAAAAAAATGTACCAAGCATTTGCATAAGGCTTGTCCCTTGTCCATTATCAAATTATCAAGTGAATATAGATGAAACTAAAGAACTCTTCTTTAATGGATAAAAAATATTAAAAGTCCAACCATTGAGCCTAATAACTATTAATTAATAGAATTTAGCAATTGAAAGGTTTCAAACTACATCTTTTTGTCTTCTTAAATGTTTCCTTTTTTTGGTTCATCCATTCATTCTAATATTGACAGAGAATTGGACGTGTAAAAGAGTGAGAGTCATTAAAATTATATA